GGGTGGCGTGGGGCGCGGGAGCTTGGCGCGTGGGGGGGGAGCCGTTGGCGCCGGTCCCGCTGTCGCGGGTGGGTGTGAATGCAGCTGGGGTGGCAGCGCCCAGGTGTTCCCGCTGCCTGCCAGCACTGCGCTCCCTGTACAGCGCCGCTCAAAGAAAAGCCCTGACGGCTCTGTGTTAAATGCCCTTGTTTTAAAGTTGTAAAGTCGCTGCTCTCAAGTTAGCAAATGGCAGAGTGGAGTCTGCTTGTGTGACTTCAGTCCCGTCCCCCCATGTCCCCTGTGCTGTGATCTGGTATCTAATTACAGGATGGCATGCTGTTTCCCCAGGTGCCCCCGCTCAGTTGAGGAGGCACTTAGGAAGAGAGGCAGCTACTGAATATTTCTTTTTCATCTTTGCTGTTCACTGTAAGGTCCAGGCCTGGCTTGTTACAGTCTTTGGGCACTTTGCTGTGGAGCCTGGCTGTGCTGAGTGCTGCCTTCCCCCCCACTGGGTCCCTGACTGCAGCGGGTCCAGTCCTTGCTGCTCCGAGGCAGCTGGAGAAGTGATGCCGGCGGAGGACTGACCAGGTAGTCGAGTCCTCTCTGCCTGCGTTCACAGAAATTGGGGTTGTGGGTGAGTGGCAAGGAGCGGCTCTGTTTGGAAATGGGGGTTTCCAGCCTGCGTGGTCCCGCAGGGGTGCGTACGCCCTGTCTGCGTGCCTGGGCAGCACCTCCGCGGGGCGCGGCTCCCGCCGCTGTTGAGGGTGGTCCCCGGGGAACCCCTGGTCTGAGCAACGTCCTCCGCACCACGTAGGAGTGTGACTCTCTTTCTTGTGTTCCCCACTTCTCACTTTCCCGCACTGGAAAAGCACCTTCTCTGCACAGCCTGGAAGCTGTGATGCATCCGTTATCGGAGACGACTTGCTGCTGTCTGTAGAGGAGGGAGCAGATGGAGGCTGCCCTGGCCGTCCCTGACTTGGAGGCGCACGACACCTTCGTACGGCTCCAGGCTGCTCTGGCTTTCCAGCGGGGAGCGATGGCAAAGGCGGTGCTGGCGTGTCTTTGCCTGTCGCAGCGAGGCTGTCCCTGCTGTCAGCCTGCCCTCTCTGCCCTGCCCTTGCTGCATCCGGGGGTGTCACAGCTCCCCCAATGGAGGCTGCCCTGGCCGTCCCTGACTTGGAGGCGCACGACACCTTCGTACGGCTCCAGGCTGCTCTGGCTTTCCAGCGGGGAGCGATGGCAAAGGCGGTGCTGGCGTGTCTTTGCCTGTCGCAGCGAGGCTGTCCCTGCTGTCAGCCTGCCCTCTCTGCCCTGCCCTTGCTGCATCCGGGGGTGTCACAGCTCCCCCAGCCCTCATCGCCCGCGGCGGGAGCGGGAACAGCCAGGGCCAGGCCCCGGTTTGCCTCGAGCCCCCTGCTCTGTGGCAGGGAAACTGCTGAGCTCGCCCTGTCCTGGCAGCCCCTCCTGCAAGCCAGACCCTGCTCGGGGTTTCTCGTGGGCGCCAGGCGCTGCGGGAACGTGCTGGGATCGGTTTCCCCGGGCTCCCTGCCCTTCCTCAAGGGC